TTATTCTTTTTTGTTCTGTCCTGGTTGGGTTGAGTCATCAAGATTATGATAGTCTCATGAATTATAGGGTGTCCACCCTTCATTATTTAGAAAAGATCATGAAAATTGTTACCATTTTATTGTTAAATGTGTTAACTCACCAGTGCAAGCTACACGGAACTGTAGGTTTTTTAATGGAAAGGTTTTTAATTACTGAATCCATTTAATAGTGCTAGGACTTTTTGATTCCCTATTTCTTTTTGTACAGTTTTGTTTTGGTAAGTTATATTTTTCTAGAAATGTTTATATCCCATCTCAATTTTCAAATTTTTGAGGTTATCCTCAATACATTTTCTTTCCAGTATTTGCAGGATCTGTAGTGATGTTTCACACTCAATTCTTGGTATCATTATTTTCTTCCTTATTCTTTAAAATTTTTAAAAATTTTTACTTCAGAGAGAGAGGAAGTATGAACAGGTGGCAGGGAGAGAAAGAGAGAGAATCCCAAGCAGGCTACATACTCAGCACAGAGCCCGACATCGGGCTCCATCCCACAACCCTGGGATCACAACCTGAGCTGAATTTATGAGTTGGATGCTCAACTGACCTGAGCCAGCCGGGCGCCCCCCCCTTATTCTTTATTTATCTCACCAAGGTTAATCAGTATTATTAGTCTTTCCAGGCAACAAATTTTTACTTTTGTTGATTCTATTGTATGCATTTCTATTCCATGCATCTATGCTCTGACCTTTAATATCTCCTTCTTTATTTTCTTTACATTTATTTTGATCTTTGCCAAACTCCTTGAGATGACTGCTTTGTCTTTAATTTTCAGCCACTTTTTTCTAATACATACATTTTAAAGCTATAATTAGTATTAGCTTTAATAAAGTTCATTTGCTGAATCCAACCAGTTCCATATGCAGTATTTTTTAGTTCAAAATGATACACACACAGAGGAATGCTCTGCAGCTGTAAATAAATAGAATAAGGAAGATATGTATTAATATAAAAATGTATCTAAGATACACTGTAAAGTTAAAAGCACACTGCAGTGCAGTATGAATTATTCCTATCCTTTGTAAGAATGGGGGGTGGGAGTTTCTTTTTTTTCCAGCTCTTTTCTGGTCTCATAACCAATTGTTGTTACCCAATAACATCTTAAATAGGTAATTAGTGGATGAGTTAGTCACAAAAATAAAAATTTTCTGTGTATTCTGATTTACCCTATAGGAACATGATTAAAGGGTTAAATAAGGAAGTCACTGTTTCATGAACATAAATGGCTTAAGTAAGGGATGGGGAGGATAGGAAGAGACAGAAGGATTAGCAGAGCGGCTTGTAACAATTTTGACACACTTTTTTATTTGTTCACAACATTCTGAACAAAATGACATCACATTTAAACTATTGCTTTTACATATGAAGTTAATTGTTTTATCCAAAGTAGACAAAAATCGATTTCTTTAAGTTGACAACCAGCACTTTTTCCCCCAGGGAAAGCCACTGCTTATTTTTTTAATACATTAACAGAACCACAGAATTGCCCTATAATTAAAAAAAGAAAGAAAGAAAAAAAAAGGATTGCCCTATAATAGTTAGGTCTTACCTGAACTACATTTAAACTTTTTCTTGTCAAAAGGTGAAGCCAGAAAAAAAGAACCAGCTCACTCATGATTTCTCTCAGATGTTTAATAAGTCCCTTCGTCTTTGTTAAAAATCTGCTTGTGCGGAGAGGTTCATAAATGTGAAAATGGAAAGGAAGCCTCCCCAGACTTGTTCAGAGAGAAGTCAGGCGGACCATTTATCCTGAGAAAATAGCTGCTGGCCCCTGATCATTAATTCTAAACATTATTGCCCTCCAAGCCAAACTTCTCTTCCGTGCCATGATAGTGTGTAATCTTTTCTGCTCTGGAAACGAGAATTCCACTTTCCACTCATGTAATGCTGCTCCTTTGAGCAAATCTTTGACCAAGTTCTATTTCACTGAATGCAAAGGGGAGAAACAGTATTTAAACAATTATTAATACTGGAATAAAAATGAAGAGTACATATATTTTTCACATAGAAAAATACATACAAATCCAAGGAGCTGTTAAAGTAGAAAAAAAATCAGGATGGGCATTTTTTAAGAAAAAGATCCTGTTTTTTTTTTTTTTTTTTTTTTTTTTTTTCAATGTTTATTTATTTTTGGGACAGAGAGAGACAGAGCATGAACGGGGGAGGGGCAGAGAGAGAGGGAGACACAGAATCGGAAACAGGCTCCAGGCTCTGAGCCATCAGCCCAGAGCCCGATGCGGGGCTCAAACTCACAGACCGCGAGATCGTGACCTGGCTGAAGTCGGACGCTTAACCGACTGCACCACCCAGGCGCCCCAAAGATCCTGTTTTCTAAACTGGTGCCAGTAAGACACTGATTTTTATATCTAACTATATCACCATATTTATATACAAAGAGAGGCTGATCTAGGTTCACTGACATACTGATATCCCCTGATTCTCCCATTTCCCTAAAGATTGTCTTTCAGAACATACTTGAACTACGACCAGTATAATTCTATTTTTACACCATTCTTGTCACTGGCACGCTCTCTTTGATCTGGCATATACAAAAATTGATTTTAACATCGATTCACTTTTCTGATGCTAAAACAAACATAATTTTCCTGCTACTTCAATTCTATCACTACTTTGGTATTTTATTCATTATTACAGAAACAGGGAAGATTCTAAACATGGATTTTAAGACTACATAAAATTCTAACACACATATGCTGAAAGCAAGGAAAAATAGGACAGGAGACACAATTATATTTTTTCATGTATGTCACTATGTTACATTCTAATTTACAAGTGGGGACGCTTAGCGTGGCTTCCAGACTATCAAACTTTAGAATTTATTGGTATCTTTTAGACCAATTCACTACAGAGCTTCTGAAATGGTTATTGAGTATCTGAAGCAAAAGCAGGACAGTATCTATATTGTACAAACAGTGATGGATTTAAAGAACATATTACTGACCAAACTTTAAAATGACATTCTCAAAACATTATTACAAAGTGTTTTTCCTCCACAGAAGGCGAAAAACTTGATTACTTTAAAAAGTTTTCCCTTCCATACATACTTGTGTCATTCTTTATTAAGCATACTGACAAAGGTTTAAATCAGTTCCAGACCTCAGCTGTTGAAAGATTAAAATATAAAGGTAAGAATTTTCAGCATAAACATTAAAAGACTAACAGAATTGCTTTCCATGTAATAGTAAACACTATAAAATGAGCTTTAATGGTTAGCACCTGATCCTTACCAGGATTTTGCTACATCTCCTAGAACTGCAGAGCTAGAAACTAATGCACTGAAAGCATAAAGAAAAAATTGAGACAATCCCAGGGTTTAGAAGTCTCCTACAAGAAACCAATTTTAAATGCCTGTGATATGGAGACACTAAACCACCACAATCAATAATAAAGTGAACCCAAGTTTTACGTGTTTTATCCTGTTGAGAAAGTAATAGTTTTGATGCTGCGCTTTCAATGTGTGTGCTATACGACACTGCATCTGTTACTTTCCACTCAGATGTTTTTTACCTCTCTGACAAGTTTGCAGAAAGAGGTCTGTCAAGAGACATGAACGAACACTGAAAGTCTCGGGTCTTGCTACCACACAAGTCAGTCCTTAAGCACCTGATATACACATTTAAAGACGGGCTAACTCTCATCATATTTAAAATATGTCTTTAATAGGCCAGTTTCTGTAGGATTTAAGAACTTAGTGATCAGACAAACCTATCTTTAAACTCTTTTAGTTTTGCTAGGAGTACAAATGTCTAAAACACACAAGGAAGAAATCATTCCCATGAGAAGCTCATCACTATATAATCCTTGACAGCACTTGATGCCCTCCTGAGATTTTAGGAGAATAAAGCTATACGAAATGCACAGTCATCATCTTCAGGCTACCTTTGAATCCCACAGACCACTAACTCAAAGAATACCCATAAAGTCCATATACCATTATCCAGAAACACCATGGAGGCAAAGCAAAAAGAAGCAACAGTTAATCGTAAATAAAATAAACCAATGATGTTTCACCAGTATTTTTGAAAAGCTTTAAGTTTTCCTTTTGTATAAGTTCAAAGATAGTTTTATTGAAATAGCCACTGTCCTTTGAATACAGTCTAGATTTTCTTAGCCAATACATCTCTTTTCATAAACACTCACAGGCAGAGAAGCCTCATAAAAGGCCTTCACACCAAGCATTATTATTCTTTTCTACAACTGACTGAAAAGCAAATAACTGAAGATAAGAAAATGCTTTTAAGCTTTAAAATACCACTGTGATATTTTAAAGTGTGGTATTTAGAAACAAAAAAGCTAGTCACCAATACTGTCATTCTCTCATTATCCATTATGCTAAATAATCAGGGAAACCAAAAAAAAAAAGAGGCCATGATTCTTTATCCTGTCTGACATATCAATGCTTTTTGCTACTAACGAAGCAACATTAGGGCATGTGATTGAGATGCAAACAAAGAAAACCATGAAGAACTACTCTTCCTGTTAATTAACCTAGGAAGAAAACATGACAAAGAAAAAGAACAATCATCTCCAAACTAAAACACAAAAAAAATCTTAAAAGAGCTTTGAAAGGTTACGATACTGACTTGATAGTACAACACATAAAAATGAAAACTGATTCTTACACATTTTAATCAACCAATTAAATACAAATACCTGATTTGTACTTTTACACTACATGGGCTAAGTCCCAAGTTCCAAACTGTAGTTCACAGGACTCTACAGAAGGGATCTTTGGAAGGATAAGGTACCTTTGGAAAACAGTGTATAAACAACTGTAAACATACACTGATTGTCCACTAGCTTTCTTAAATAGAATTTCTGAAATCTTTTTGTAGGAAATTATATATAAGGAGTGTAATTGATCAGATACTTTCTATTACAACATATAAATTCTGTTGTGTGTGCAAAATGTGGTAGAAATAGAAGATACTACGGATGATTCATATTTTTAAAGTAAGTGATACATTACAATCCAGTAAGAGTCCTTTAATCTTTTCATGAAACTTCTCTCTATACATGTTGAAATACATAATGCTTTCTGGCTTTTCTTCAAACCAAAACTTGTCAAATTCATAGACAAGGTAACCTGCGGTTAAAGAAAAACAAAACATAAATATAGTCTCAGTAGGGGAATCACAACCAAACCACCTCATTTTAAAGTACAGGACCATCCTTTAAGTTATATATTAAAATACAATAATCAGGAATCATATTAAACTACTAGAAACCTGAAAAACCTTGTAAGAAATACTTTTGTTCAAAATAAGCAGGAATTTCAATAAAATATTTAGTATATTTACTGTTTGTCTCAAGTATCAATAAAATCCCTCAAATGTAAGAGATACAGTACTGTCAAAAGATGCCTTGGGAATAGGAAAAAAAGTTATTCCCAGAGACCCCTGAAACACAAATATGAAAGTAATGAGAAAATGTGGCACCTCGGTGGCTCAGTTGGTTAAGCGTCCAACTCCTGATTTCAGCTCAGGTCATGATCTCACGGTTCGTGAGTTTGAACCCTTCGTTGGGCTCTGCATTGACAGTGCAGAGCCTGCTTGGGATTCCCCACCCCCCACTCTCTCTCTTTTTCTCTCTCTCTCCCCACCCCCCCTCAAGTAAACAAAAAATCTGAAATAACAAGAAGACATTAGACAAGGATAAAGTACACAAAAGCCGTTTTCTATTGATTTATAAATCTAATAATTATTTCTACTTTCTTCAATGAACTATCAACATCTTCTCTTTTTAAAAAGAATACACAGTGCTTGCTTCGGCAGCATATACACTAAAAAAAAAAAGTATACACAAACTCTAAATAGTAGGCTTAATGTTTTTGTTTTTCAATATCCTCATGACAGTAGCCAAGTTAACCCTCAAAGTATTAACAGTACATAATAAAAATAAAAACGTAAATAGATACATTTACAAGCAAAAAATGTGAATTTAAAATCACTCTTAAACCATATTTGGATTCAACCAAATATATGTATTTATTTAACAAATGCTACTATAGTCATGCTCACCACTTGCTCATGTGTGTATTTACTCTCCCAGCAAGCCTATGATGTGGTATTGTTGTGGTATTGTTATTCCCATTTTACCGATGAAGAAATGGGGGGCACAGAGAGTTTTTACTTTTTTTTTTTTTTTTTTTTTTTTAGTAATCTCTGTGCCCAACATGGGACTAGAACTCATGATGCTGAGATCAAGAATCGCATGCTCTAGTGACTGAACCAGCCAGGTGCCCTGAGAGCTTAAGTAACTTGCCCAAATCATATAGTTCGCAAGTGGTCTCTATTATGTTATAAATTAGACTTTGTATCCACCAGAATCTCATTTCCTCTTCTGAGAGGATTTTTAATAAGGGATAGAAGTGACTTATTTCAGATAAATGGAGGAGGGGAGGGAAAGACAGTGACTACATAAAAGTGTGGCTAGATTATCATAATCAATTAGTATGAAAAAAAGTGAATTCCATTTTAGAAATTAGTCATAAAGCAAATACTAACAGTTAAGAACCATGACATTTCAACATTGAAATATCACTTCATAAGAAGGCCAATTTAAAAAAGATTTCAGAGTAATCTCTTGATATGATAAAACAGATTTTTGTTAACTAGGATATATGAGAACAGCAAAGAATAAGGCCTCTTTGAGCAGAGGGCTTTTCATTCCCAAAAGCCAAACTGAGAATGGTAAGCTTGTACTTATTTTTAAGTGGTATTGTTTTTAATTTTCATTTCATTCAAAATTTACTTTGTGCATACATTAGAATAGTAGATCTATAGAAATTATACATTCATATATAAATTGAACCTGTGCTCCCCCCCATGCCTACTCCCAATATATTGATAGGGACATACAATAAAAAATTTGGAGATTAATATGTTGGGTAGTATGAAAACTAAAACATCTATGCAAACTTGATATTTTTGTTTTAATTATATTTGGCAATTATATCTCATCTATTTACCATTCTTGTAAGTCCTCTAAATTGCTTTTCATTACTGCCTAAGCAAATGAGTATTTAGGTTTCGAACAAACTGCTCAAGTATAAGGTACTAGCAATTTCTTGCTTCAGAACTGAGTTGTTGGTTTATAATGTAAACTGGTCTCAGAGAAAGACCAGCCTGAGACTATAATGGCTAAATTGATTTAATGAGACATCAGGAAACTGCAGGAGATGAGAACAAAATTACAGAGGGCTGACAGGGCCTTGCAAGACTCTGAAAGCCTTGCAGAAATGGATGGAAAAGAGTTGTATCCACAAAGCACATCTATTGCTGTTTTGCCTCTAGGAGGTTTCAAACACTAGACTCAACAGAAACACCATACAAAATTTCTAACCTCAAAATTCCCCGTATGCTTTTACTGTCCCTGACCAAAGCCACAGGGGCACTTAAGGTTTTCCAAAAGGGGTTAAAAGAAGGTAACCATAGAAACAGGGATTAACTGTAAACTGGCATGAGGGATTTATTGGGATGATAAAAATGTTCTAAAAGTGGACTATGGTGTTAGTTGTATAACTCAGCAAATTTACCAAAACTCACTGAATTGTTCACTTGAAATGGGTGAATGTTATGGTATATAAATTATACCTCAATAAAGTTGTTATTGAGCCATAACTTTTCTGTTATACAAACTTGAGTTATTTTTTTTTGAATCACCAAACCACTCAGGTGACACTGGATATCTGCTTGCATTTTTGACATACAACACAAGGGTGACAGTGGAGCTAAGAAACTGAATTGGCACTCACTTGTTTCCAGCCTTGTCCATAGAGAACAGTAACACCAACAAAAAAGCAGTAGGGATAACGAGGGGAATGGGAGATGGAGATATATCACAGAGAAATAATATATGTGAAAGCTAATCTCTTTATAGTTCTTTATTCTACACAAAAACTTTGACCTTGGAATTGATTTGTGCAAATGAACTGGGCCCAGTCCCCCAACAAATAAGGTTTGAAATTATTTTCTAGTTAGAATATGCTCTTAAAAATAAAGAATATTTAAATACTTAAAAAAGAATATCTAAAAGAGTATCTAAAAAGAATATCTAAAAATAAAGAATATAAGAATAAAACCTTAATTAAGACAAAAAACTTCAGGGGCACCTGGGTGACTCAGTTAAACTGTGTCGGCTCAGGTCATGATCTCACAGAGCTTGAGTAAGAGCCCCACATCAGGTCTCTGCTGTCAGCACAGAGGCCACTTTGGATCTTCTGTTCCCCCTGTCTCTGCCAATCCCCTGCTCATTCTCTCTCAAAAAATAAGCATTTAGGGGCACCTGGGTGGATCAATAGATCGAGCATCCAACCTCGGCTCAGGTCATGATCTTGCAGTTCGTGAGTTTGAGCCCTGCGTCAGGCTCTCTGTGGTCAGCACAGAACCCGCTTTGGATCCTCTGTCCCCCCCTCTCTCCCCCGCTCAATATGTGCTCTCTCTCAAAAATAAATAAACATTAATAATAATAATAATAAATAAACAAAGATTTTTTTTTAAAAAAGACATAAAACTTTACAGTAAAGGGTATAAAAATCAATTTGGGGGAGGAAACTCCAGTGTATAAGATTAAGAGAGGTGTGTGTGTGTGTGTGTGTGTGTGTGTGTGTGTGTGTGTTTGCTTTAAATGTTCCAAGAAATTTGAAACATAAGCTTAATTGTTTCTAGGATGATGCACAGCTCTTATGAATCTAGAACTGATAAAAACAAGGCAACTGAGAAAGGCAACTATAATGACTTTTGCACCTCAGATATTACCTTGATGCTCTTCCTAGACAGGAGCCAAACAAGATGCTGATGCTGAGGGCACTGAGATCAACAATATCCAAAGATGCTCGTGTTACCCATAAATAGGGGCAAAAATACTGGGCAGAAGTCATTTTGCACTGCGTTCTTACCTACCACACTTTGCATTTACTTGAATATGGTAAAATGTTTAATTTGGGGGAGGGGAGAATTTTTTGATTGTTTCTTTTTATATTTGTTTTATGTTCAATTGGCATCTTTAAACAAGCATATATTTCATAGAGAAAACAAATTATCAGAGGCCATCAGTGAAGTCCCAGGAGTCTAGACACTATGCTAAAAGTCAATGAGAGGTTTAGGGGAGTAAATCAAACAAGACTAATGGGGATAAATAGTTCCCTGGCAACAAGATGAAAGATAAGACCTGGAGAACAGGGAAAAGATGATGCAGATTTGGATAAAAATCTGTTCAAAACGCCCAACCCCTAAAAAAGGAGACTGGCTGAGCTTGACCCAAGGCAAGGAAGGGTCTCTTCCCAGCTCATAGGACGAACACACAGACTTAGAGTCTGTACTAATGGATAGGTATGCTGGGGCTATACTGACCCGGTTTCACGATTTTATCTGGGAGCAGCCAAGGCACGGAGGCATCTCCAGTACAGTCAGGAAGGGCCAGGAGGGTGTATAAATAAAACTACAATGATAACTCTGCTATGGTAAAGGAAACCAGTGCCCCTAGGCAGATCATCGACAGGGGTCCTAGGGACCTGAAAAACCTGACCCTCCATCTGAAAACACATTGTATCAACTCCTACTTTGTGTGCCCATCCCCATGAGATCCTTTAACCTTTTCCATTAAAAAAAAAAAAAAAAAAAAAAAAAAAAAAAAAATCTAGACATCCAAATGCTGGAGGCTAAAGAGAGAGGTTGGCCTTAAGATGTACATTTTGGCATCACTAGTACATATATGGTATGTCAAACAGGGGACTAGATAAAACCACTTAGAGATAGAATGAAGGGCTGAAGACAGAAGGGGGTCTAGGGCTGGGCTCTGAGGTGCTCCTACATTTAGTAAGGGAGTAGATGAAGGCTCAGCATAAAAAGTCTATGGATGAGTCAGTTGGGGCCAGAGAAAAGACAAAAGAATGTGCCATCAGAAAAGCCTAGATAAGGTTGCAAGAAGAAAGGCATGGTCGTTTAAGCCTGGTGCTGCTAAAAGTATCAAATAACACAAAGACAAAAAAGGTGGCAAGTGGATCTGGCAACAAAAAAGTTGTTCATGTATTTGAAAAAATCCGTTTTAGCAGTGTAGTAGGAAGAGAAACCAAACTGGAGTTAGAAAAAAGATGAGCAGTTAGGATGTGAAAACAGCATTTATTTTAAAAGTTCAACAACGAAGGGGAGCAGATAAATGGGAGTGGTAACTGGAGGTAGATGCCGCACTAAGGGAATGTTTCGTTTTGGTTTGGAAAATGAAGGCTCCATAAACGCAGAGATTTTGCCTCATTTCTGCCATATCCCCAGTGCCCAGAACAGCATCTGACACACAGCAAGTGAATGAATGAATGAATGGGAGATACCAAAGCAGGTCACTAGTTCTGATAAAAATATTCCAAAAGAGGAGAAGAGAAGAATAATAGAGAAAGAAATGGGTAGCCAAAGGAACAAAGTCTCTGATAAGACTTGAGAACGTCATGTCTAAACTGAGATTTGAAAGATGAGTAGCAACACCTAGAAAGAAAGGAGGGACCAGAACAGTGCTCCAGGCAGAGTGAAAGGTCCAGAGTCAAGAGAGAGCATGACACATTTGCTCACCTAAAAGAAGACCAGGGTGCCTAAATTTCAGACTGTAGGGAGTTGGTGTTTGGCAGAAGATGAACCTGGAGAAGTTACCAAGGTATGGATTATGAAAGGCCTTCTAATGGAACCTTTTAAAGAATTGTAGGCAGTGGAGCAAAACGATTAGATTTTCATATCATTTCATTTTATTTTATTTTTTTAATGTTTATTTATTTTTGAGACAGAGAGAGACAGAGCATGAACAGGGGAAGGTCAGAGAGAGAGGGAGACACAGAATCGGAAGCAGGCTCCAGGCTCCAAGCTGTCAGCACAGAGCCCGACACGGGGCTCAAACTCACGGACCGTGAGATCATGACCTGAGCCGAAGTCGGACGCTTAACCGACTGAGCCACCCAGGCGCCCCTAGATTTTCATTTTAAATAGTCCTATCTTCAATGTGTAGAAGAACTGGAAGAAGGTCATCAGAGAAAGACTAGTGAAAAAGCTAAAACAGTAATCTAGTAACAAAAGCCTGATGTCATGCAGTTACAAGGGGGATGGGAAAAAGTAGATAAAGGCAAGAGAAATTTAGGAAGCGACACGCCGGGAGTAAGAGATCAAGTGAAGGCCAGGGAGGCTGTGTGAAGGAGAGACTTGGATGACACCTTCAACAATGGAGATGAAGAAGTTATGATTCGGCAATTTATTACCTAACTAGTTTCCTATATCCTGCCAGCATGCAAAAGGTGTTACAAAAAGATCAAGAAAAGTAGAATGGGAAACTATGCTAGGTTTAAATTCTTTGCCTCTGAGCAATAGCTTCACAAGATAAGTTCATTTGATTAAACCTTCAGTGTGCAAATACCATCACAATAAAAGTTAATGGAACAGTGGTAATAATGACAGCATTAGGAACAGTTATTAAGTACCACCAACCTAATACAAGAAAACCTGGCCTTGAAAAGGGGGTGGGGTGGGGATAGGAGGTGGGGAACATTCCTTTAAATTTTCTTACAAGACTAACAAAATAATCTGTGAATGGCCTGTCCTTGACTCAGCAGCATTCACTAACCAGTATTCAAGAGAGAAAATTCATTTTATAGTTGACTACAAAAATGGATGTTTACAGAAAAACTGCATAAATCCTAAATTTGCATATATGTGAAAAAACTGCCTTGCTGAATTTTTTTATTCAGCAAATATAGAAACTGATGGTAAAATACTCTTGGGGACCCATCTACCATTATTTCCCTGTTTTTCAAAGACCCTAAATAAAAGCATAAGTTATATACTTAATAGAGATATTAAATTATATATCTTCCTAATGATTTAAAGATTCTCTTAGAAATATCTAGTTTTAAGTCATTTTAATACTCACAATAAAACTGATGAAAGTGTTCCATTGTCGGTATACCAGGAACAAAGTTGTAGAGATGAAACTTCAAAGCTTCACTCTTTAGCAAGCTATAAGCCATCTCAGTAAGGTTGATTCCAACTATTGCATAAGAATACCTATGTCAGAAACATTACCAGTTATACCAGCTAGCCAAACAGCTCATAAAATAACTTTAAAATTATGCAAGAAATCAGTGAAAAGTTACTTTGATCCATTTCTAATACAGTATTGATTCTATAATAATCTCTACCTATTAAGAAAAATAAACCAGAATAGATAAAAGATTTCTGTTCTTTTAGAGGCTGTTGACTTTCTGGATATAATCTAAGAAAGTAAAAATGAAGCTTTGGATACAAAAATACTGACTCAAAGGGGCACATGCACCCTGACGTTTATAGCAGTTTTATCAACAAAAGCTAAATTATGGAAAGAGCCCAAGTGTCCACTGACTGATGAATGGATAAAGAAGATGTGGTGTGTATGTATGTACACACACATGCACACGCACGCACACACACATACACACACACACACACACACACACACACACACACACACACACACACTATGGAATACTACTTAGCCATCAAAAAGAATGAAATCTTGCCATTTGCAACAATGTGGACAGAGCTAGAGTATATTATGCTAAATAAAACAAGTCAGTCAGGAAAAGAAAAATACCATACGATTACACTCATGTGGAATTTAAGAAACGAAACAGATGAACATAGAGTAAGGAAAAAGAGAGAGAAGAAAACCATAAGAGAGTCTTAACTATAGAGAACTGAGGGCTGATGGAGGGAGGTGAGTAGGGAATGGGCTAGGTGAGTGATGGGTATTAAGAACGGCACTTGTGATGAGCACAGGATGCTATATGTAAGTGATGAGTTACTAAATTCTACTCCTGAAACCAATATTACACTATCTTAACTAACAAGAATTTAAATAAAAATCTGAAAAAAAATCCAATATATATGTTTGTGTGTGTGTATATACACGCATATGTGTGCATGTATGTATATACACACACATATATGTAAAGCTATAAATGAATAAATAAATAAATATGAAGCTTTGGTCACACAAATACCAAAAACCAAAATCCTTAAAAAAATTAAAAAGAGTACTACATACACTCTCATTGACTTCTAACACACACTGGGTAACCTGACATTTTCTCCATTATCAGAGTATTTATTTTTATAATGTAATATTTTAATAACATTTTTTCAAATATAGGGCTCATTGGAATATAAGAATAAAATAATAATGACAAAGCTAATAATAGGGCCTCATTTGCATTTCACTTCACAATTTTCAAAGCTATTTTTCATTTTCCTATTTCTATTTCAAAGCTATTTCCTATTCCTATTTTCAAATCTATTCCTCAAGAAACTTTCTTAAAGTTCCTTACCTCCATTTTATAGACAAACTATATCTTGTGACAAAAATATACTGAATACAAAACTGATTTAACTTTTAAAATAATGTATCATGCAATATCCTTTATAAAGTTCTTATTAAAAATAATCTCATTTTTTAAAATACCATGAAATACTTTCAAATCCAGATAATCTCATCAACACTTTAACATTCAAGAATTTATAGTTGCCTTGATCTATCCAGCTTACCCTAATTTTGGATGATTTGAACGGGAAAGAATCTGGTGAGCTTCACTGGTGTAGTTTTCACTGAAATACCTTTAAGAAGTTTAGGAAAAATAATAAAATACATCATTCAAATTGAAGATATCCAGGAGAAATTTAAAAAACTACTGTTAAGACGATAATACTGCCACAATCATCCCAATCTCCATCTCAAATCATTTCAGGTACTCGGAAATGCTTCTGAGTCAAAATTTAATTCTGAGCTATCAGGCCTATCCTGTTAGTACAGGGCATGGGCCCTTGGCAAGGCTTTAAAGTACTTAAGCAAACAAATGATTTAACAAGAGGCGTTCTATCTATCTTTAAAACAGATCTAGAGTTCTTCTTGTTTGTTTGTTGTGACTTTAAATTTTCTATAAAATAGTCCATGTGTGCCTGTTGGGACATCATCCTTTCACCTTGGCTTATTTCTTCTATTGCAGCTTAGGTCAGTATTGTGTAATGGTGTTTTCCGTGCAAACAGAAGAAGGTCAATAGCCTTTCTTCTGCACTTAAAAATACCCTCCTTGGTCAGTGGTTTAACTAAAATGCTGGCCATAAAACAGAAGTATTAGCAGGTACCACAGAGAAATATATAAAGCTATCTGTTTGTAGGCTCATACATCCTGTTGGCTTATAGTAATGAAACTTCTTTGAGTTCTTAAAGCTAGGGACTAGTCTATTCAACCTTCTGGATCACCTCATGACGCACTGGTACTCATACACATATACATATATACTTATATGAGGATAAGAAGTAGAATAAAAAGTGGATTTCCATGGCTCATTTAAATTTTAGAGGGCATAATCATTGAGATTTTCATAAAGTACAGAAATTTCTAACCAAATTTTCCGATTTTCCTTCTATAGATTAATAATATAGATTTCCATTTTTCTTTACTGGCTCTAACATTCAACCCATTAAAAAACAAGAGTTAACTCAGAAGTCTGTGAATGAAGGATCATTCATGAATGAAGGCGTATCCATGAACCACCTTAAATTATGCATGATTTTTCTGAGTATACATTTTCTGGGGAGAGAATATACAAAACTTTCATCAGATTCTCAAAGGGATCTATAACTCCCCAAAAAGGAAAAGTTCGGTTTTAGTGCAATGCTTTCCTTACATACTCTCATTTTTCTTCCTTATCCCTAGGTTGGCTCTAAGGATGCCTTTACTAAACTATTTATATTTCATTTTCATACATGATACTAATATAATTCAGTATTACATTATTATTTCAATAATCAAGTTACTCTTAAAATACTCAATCTGTAACACAGAACAGTATTTAATTTCCTTGATGAACTTATAGTCAACCCCTATCTTAACAGCATCTAAGAAAAAGGAACATCTGTGCAATAAGGAAAACTATTCCTTACAATAATCTGCACTGAATTCCCTCCCTCCTTCCTATCCTCCTTCCCTCTCACCTGCTTGCCTGCCCGCCTTCTATCCTTCTCCTTCCTTCCTTCCTAACTTTTCTCCGTTCCTACATACAGTTTTGGCTTTAATTTGTATGTTCTTCTAGTCACCTGTTTCTATTTGCTCCTCTATTCAGATTTCTTCTTGAATTCTTCAGTCTCTCTTGAACTCATTTTCTGTACAGTATCCTTTATTCTTCTACACCTGCCTCAACATTCATTTACCTAGGTCATTATTATCAAACTACCAGCTATATTTCAAAGCAACAAAATATCTCAAGAGATTAGATAACGAAGGCAGAGAAAGATAAAAAATAAATTACATGTGGATATTTGAACAGCTCGCCTGCTTGTTGACTGTATTGCTACTTTGACCCCGAAGACTCATAGCTCCATACACAGAACAACAAACATAACTGTAGAGGAATCAGCTCTGATTTTTTCTGTTTTCAACCATCTCTAGTACATCATTGGCAATCAAATAACTATTAACATATGTGCGTCTTGGTCATTTTTCAAATTAGTAATATTAGCTCCACATAAAAGTGTCTGTAAATCATTTAAAGGTCTATTGGAATCCCTTACTACAGTCTTGAATCAAATCCTACCAACTTATTTCAATGTTAAGTTAAATTAAGTGCCCCCCTGGCAAATGCTGAAAAATCTTGATTTCTTAGGAAAAGAGCAAGAAGCAATGTTACTCATAAAAAGAAAAGAAACATCAGAATAGTGTTCAGCTAACTGAGGTTCAAGTATCTGTGTAATTTACAAGTACCAAGAAAAAAGATGGTTTTTAAAGGTTAAGAACAAAGAATCCATGTGTTCTGAAAAACAATGAATTTTAAAATATTTTATAATTCTTCCAAGTGGAAACAAACTGCATTTATTCTACTTCAATTCCAACTGGAAGTTTGTTTATCGAAGTAGAAAACTGGCAATCTCACTTTTTGTAATTATTATTTTTATATTATGTTACATCTTTGGCAGTTGTACTTACAGGGAATCTTTATACTTATAAAATTTAGATATTACAGAAAATTAAATACTTTTGTAACTGGAAAAAAAACTGGAGATATCAAAACCCTCCTGTGTCTGTTTTCCCCAAAAATAGCTTTATCCATACAAATCTAGTCATTTTTTCTCAATATTAACAATCGAGCACAGTTTTAGGAATAATTTTTTCACAGTGACAACCATCCAAACTTTGCTACTGGTTACATTTCCCATTCTAGGCACTTTATAGTCTATAAAACACAATTCGAGGAGAGACCCAAACACTAGAATCTTTTAATTTGCATATCCACATCCATATTAATCTTTCAGTTTATTTTCTAGAATAGTTTTGCCATCAATTCTGACTTTAATCACATATTTTGGAATTTCATGTATGTGCCCAAGTGTAAGTATTAAAGGAGAAAAAAACAAAAAGAGAGAGTTCATATAGGCTCTGAAAAGTCAGGGCTTTGGATCACTTGTTACAGATGGTGAAGAATAAGTGTGAAGACACTTTATTTGTATCTTATCGAGTTGTATTTCCCAAAATGGAATTAGAGAATCAAGAGAGAAGAGGCAAGAAGATAAAAAGAGTAAGAAAAGAATGTATATAATTACTTAAGAGGTATCAGAAAGGAGGCCAGGGAGAGAAAGGAAGAAGAAAGATATTAGTAAGCAAAGAAATCATACACACAGAAAATCTTTCCCATGTTTTCATATTGTTGCCAGCACATCAGTAAATACTTCTAGCAGTGTAGCTATTCAAATTCAGAGAAAGTGTGAAACAACTAGATCAATTATTAGAGTTAAATAATATTGGAGGTTCCATGTAATTTCACTTAGAGAAGAAAAAAAAGTTTATTTTCACTTACACGAGATTGATTAATCCAAGTATGCCCATGCCTCTGAAGTCTGTTTTGGGATCATCACCCTGGAAACCAATGTCAGCCCACTGCTTGGAGATTCTAGCCTTCAACTTTTTCGTGGGCATTAGAAGATTCCAAAGCTGTACAAACATGCTTCCATATTACAAATAATAGTGATGTTCTTAATTTACCAAGACATTTTTCTTCTCATAGCTAATATGAGTTAAGTCAAATACTTTCAATGTTAAATAGCTTTTGTAGACAAATTATAGGTTCAACAAAAACTATACTTAAGAGAACATTACAATTATCCTAAAAAATGCAGCGTACTTACCTTAACTTAAAAGACTGCTATAAAGAACAGTAGACTTTGAAAAAGTGTCAAGTATACAGATATCTAAAACAGTGAAGTATCTTTATTTACTAAGTAATACATATATACCAGCATTGGTAAACTGCCTCCTTAAGAAAAACACTGTTAGGTACTTGGTCCTTGCCTCAAACACTAAATACTTAAGTAGGCTCCACTCTAATGGTGAGTGATTGGTCCCTAATCAGAAGGGAGACAGGGAGGGAATCATGAAGAAGTAAGACTGCTAGTATTTCAATCCATATGATCATTATTTTATAAATTTTCATAATTTTAAAAGAAAAATATAATATGGCTTGGTTTCAAGTAAATATGTTCCTTAAGACTGAGGATTTAAGAACAGAAATCAAATATTAGCAACAAACTAACCAAAGCAAAATAAAGTTGAAAAAATTTAATCCTTTTCTAAATTCAATACCACAAAAGTCATCAAAGAAAACAGACTTATAAAAATTATTAAAAAGTTTGTGAATATTTGCAGAACAGAAATACCTGCATTTTTTTCCATTTCACTACCATTTCAGGCATTGTTGAGTAAAGGACTCCTAATGAAAGGAGTATCCTGTCACCTAAAATAAAATGTGAAGACTTGTGACTTTAAGACAGGGTCAAGACTCTGGCCCCGAAGTGAATCCAGGCATTACATTAGATTTTACCTGGTCTCTTCTCTTTTTACTAACATACTGGCATCTCTCCATGAGTTTGGCAAGGGGTTTGATGATGGGTGGCTCAGTTGGTTAAGTGTCCAACTCTTGGTTTCGGCTCAGGTCATGGTCTCCCATTTCGTGAGTTTGAGCCCCACATCAGGCTCTGTGCTGACAGTGCAGAGCCTGCTTAGGATTCTCTCTCCCCCTCTCTCTCTGCCCCTCCCCCATTTACTCTCTCTGTCCCTCTCAAAATGAATAAACTTAAAAAAATTAAAAATAAAATAAAGTAAAATAAAATGCACAAATATCAAACTGCTGGGTTCCATCTCTGGTGATTCTGATTTCATAGGGCAAAAGTAGAACCTTCAATTCTAAATATTAAGACACTGGTTAACTCTAGTGAAGGTGGGCCTTAAACTACACTTACAGAAACACGTACCTCCTTTACCCACAGAGACTGCTGAGTCTGTGCAATGGCTGGGTGGTTCACTGCCAGCAACTGGCTTTTTACCTTTAAAACTGGGTTTCATGATGAATCACTAAGATAAAAATTCCCTTGACTAAAATGCTTGGATTTACATCTTACCCCTTCTAAAGGGAAGGTATTATGTAAAAAGGGTCAGAAGTTAAGGGAATAATGATTAACAATGAGGATATAAACAGAGGGCAAGCCACAGTGAGTGCCCAGCACAATTCTAAAACTTTGTGTTTTTTTGATTTTTTTTCTATAACTTTAAATATACAAATTCAGTCTACACTAACAGCCCTTTGAGATACGTATTTTCATCATTCTCATTTGACAAAATCAAGTTTTATTTTTAATTTTAAAATTAAGTGAAGTATGTATTTATACTCTTTTTGAAAAACAGGGTTGTTTTTTTTTTAACTTGTCTCTTACTGTTACTTAGATACTACTAATGCCTCTTTCTACAGCATTTTTATGTATAACAAACTCCTAACTCCAAGTACAATGTGCTATTTTCTTTGACTTTAACCATTAAAAATAAAATTGGCCCTAAAGCAAATTACTTTATCTTCTTTGGGCCTTAGAATCCTCATCCCTAAACCTAAAATGAAGATGCTAGATCAGATGATCTGGAAAGCTTATTCCGGGTATACTAATCTCTAATTTTGGCCTCTCACCAGCCTCACGTATTTATACTTTAGAAATAAGAAATAGGAAAATTCAAAGTAAATTTTATTACTTTATTAATTTTTAAATCTATGGTGGCATTATTTGGCAATTCACATTCCATAAATCCTAAAATATTTGACATAATAATATGAAATGGGACATCCATGTTCACAATTTGAAAGTAAGCTAAAAAAAATGCCTAACTTAAATGAGCGATTTATACAAAAAGTAGAGGGAACATCTGAAGCTTATGGACTCATACTTATCAGTTAAAAAGATATCTCTCTTAATAAGTTTACCTTTTATTTCAGAATTAAAAACATTAAAATTTATGTGAATATATTTTAAAGAGGCTTATCAGAATATTATAAAAATAGTTAACTCAAAATCTTTTGCTAACAAAAGGGGCAAAGAAATTGGATGACTGTGTAAGCCTCTAGAATTTGCACACAGACCTTACTAGCTCAAGCCCAATTTATTTTTCCAGTGTCCAATAACTCCAAATACTGAAAACAAAATTTTACCTTGAGAAGCAGCTTTTCATGTTGGAGGTTATCAGAATCATATGGCCTTTTCCTCACACTCTCTACATCCAAATAGAGCTGTTTATAACCGGATATCTGCAGTAAGCATGCCTTCATGCAGATTTTAAAACTGAAAACGATAAAATTATTATTTTTAAAAATCACATCTTCTTATCACAATGTCTTCCATAGCTTGTGGTTCGTATGTCTATTTAGAAAGCATCTCCTCAATTCCTCATCTAGTGAAGTGAAATGGTTGAAATGGATGATCTCTACAAATCCTTCAGCTCCAATATTTTATAACTGTGCATGTGATCTCCACACCTCACCATACAAGTGTATAATAAAAGAGAATACTGTAAAGACAGCATACCTGGCATCCTTCTCAGGGTTAATATTCTTTTCCTTCATTATATCTTCTACACATTTGTCTACTTCACTCTGAACAACAAGTGTTGCTTTCTGCAAAACCTGTTTATGTGAAAGAAAGCTGAATGAGGAAAATCCCTTATAGTTGAAACACAACAGTAAGTTTTGGGGGCATTTAGTCTTTACAATGCATACATTAAAATGCAAAATAAACCAAATTTGCTTCACTACAGCTAAAATCATACATACACACATACAAACAAATATAAAAGAGAAGCAGCATGATGTATCAGATAAAGGCTTCTTCAACTGGAATCAATAGGTTCTCAACTGGTAAGTTCTTAGCAAATGAGCTACCACCACAGTGGGTGCATGAAGCAGATATATAAGTTTTTTAAATTACATAACAAAAACATGTGTACAAAAATTTTAATGCAGAAGTTAAAAAAAACTTGGGGCATCTGGGTGGATCAGT